GTAGAAGTACAGGTGGGGCGATTTTATACATAAGAGATGATGTTAAAATTTTAAAATCACAACAGACATTTAAACATAAAAATTATTGGTTGGTTTACACATACATCTTTTACAATAAGAAAAAATATCTTTTGGTATCTCTGTACAGATCTCCAAGTTCATCTAAACGGGATTTTGAGCTTTTTTTTCAAGCATGGTGCGAAGAAAATTTGATTGATGAAAATTGTGTCATTTTAGTTGTAGGCGACTTTAACATCGATTACAGAACGGATGAGTCAAAAGTTTTAAAAGAAATTCTTGTAGATATAGGTCTTAAAAATATTGTTTTTGCTACAACTCGCTCTGGTAGAGATAAAGACTCAATCATAGATTTGGTGCTAACGAACTCTGATAAGTTGTTTAAAGCTAATGTTATTATTACCCCAAAAATTACTGATCATTACATGATTGAAATATTACACAATGTGAGTCCTAAAGTGGCTAAGACTGTTGATACTAGAGGTGGCAATATTGATTTTTTGAGTATCAACCAAATGTTGCGCAATTGTGAGTTCAGGTACTATCATTCTGACATAAATCATAAGTTTAGCAGTTTTGTGTCAACTGTTCTGGAAATTTTAAATTTAGTTGCTCCAATAAAAACCGTAAAAATTTTTCCTAAATATAAAAAATGGTGGAACAATAGGGTTGAGATGGCGATGCGAGAACGTGATTTTAGTTATAGGACTTATAAAAATAATAAAACAGATGAAAACTTAAATGAATATAAGCAAAAAAGAAATTTTGCAGTTCAAGTGTTTAGAGAAGAGAAACGTAAGTTCTATGAAGAAAAAATATGTCAAAATAAAAATAATCCCACAGAAATGTGGAAAACTTTGGAAACTTTATTACCTTCAAAAAGAACAGTGGCTAAAATTGATGAGGTAGAAATAAATAATACCTTAATTAGTGATAAAGAGGAGTTACCTAATAAACTGAATATTTTTTTTGTTGATAGTATTAAAGATATACTTCGGGATATAGATAAGTCTGATCTTGGAGATTTTCCATTGGCTCACCATGACGATTTGGTTAATTTTTCAGATTTTAGTATGTTGGATTTTGAAGGGTTGAAAGATATTATTTTTGGAATGGCTAATAAATCAAGTCCAGATGATATTAACATCAATTTACTCAAAAATACTTTTGAGATTATAAAGAATCCACTTTTAAATTTAGTTAATTCTTCGCTAGAATTAGGTCAGGTTCCTGATATGTTAAAAGTTTCCACTATAATCCCGATCCCCAAAGTAATTAAATTAAAATCTGCCAATGAATTGCGTCCAATAAATTTGCTTTGCACTATTGACAAAATTTTGGAAAAAATGGTGTATATGCAACTTGTTGAGTATATAGATCGGAATAAAATACTAAGTGATTTTCAATCAGGATTTCGAGTAAAATTTAGTTGCGAAACTGCTGTGCAGGGTATCTTGGAAGACTGGAGGCAAAATATTGACAAAAACTTAGCAACTGGTGCCATTTTTCTTGACTTACGAAGGGCATTTGAAACTGTAAACAGGACAAGGTTAATATTAAAGCTAAAAAGCATTGGTATTAGGGGAGTAGTTTTAAAATGGTTTGTGAGCTACTTGAGTGACCGTAAACAAAGACTAAAAGTCAATGACATATTATCAGAAGATATATCTAATGATTTTGGCGTCCCTCAGGGGAGCGTGCTGGGACCTTTGCTATTTATTATATATATTAATGACATAATTAAAAACGTAAAAAATTGTACCACATATCTTTTTGCTGACGATGCCTTATTCTATTATTCCACAAAAGATCTGGGCCAACTTGAGACATCACTTAATCAAATATTGGATGATGTGTATCAGTGGTGTAATGTTAATGATTTGAAGGTCAATATTTCTAAAACAAAGTACATGATTATTGCAAGGGAATCCATTTACAAACAGCTATTGGCTATGGACTGCAAATTATTGTTGGGCAGCGACACTATTGAAATGGTAACAAAAATTAAATACTTAGGAATTTGGATTGACCATAAACTAGATTTTAAAAGTCATGCATTAGAAATAATTAAAAAAATCGCTTTTAAAGTAAATTATTTATCTCGCTGCTCTCCATACTTGTCTACTTGGACTAAAAAAACTATATTTAATGTATTAATACTTCCACATTTCCATTATTGTTCTAGTATTTTGTTTCTCTTCAGACAAAATGAGCTCTCAAGATTGCAGAAATTGCAAAACAGAAGTATGAGGGTGATACTCAAAAAACCAAGGTTAACACCAATAAAGGATATGTTAAAAGAACTTCAATGGCTGCCAGTGCGGGAGCTTCTTCTGTTTAACACCCTAACATTCATTCATAAAATAAAAATTGGTCAAGCTCCGCAATATTTGTTAGGCAAAATTATGTATGCTTCTGAAGTGCATCAATATCATACGCGCCACAGAGAAAATTTTTATATCCCAAGGGTAGATCAGGAAAGGTCGCAAAACTCATTATATTTTAAGGGCTTGAGTAGGTATAATGATCTGCCAAATAATGTTAAGTCTATGAAAACAGTGAATTCTTTTAAAAAAGTTCTCAAAGATTATATGCTAAGTGATGTTAACTTATAAGTAAGTAGTATGTGTAACTTGTATTGTATCAGTGTACGTTTTTTTTTAAATAATTTTTTATCATTGTGTTATTGACTGTAGATTTTAAATTGTTTTTTAATTAAATTATAAATTAGCTTTAGTGGAATTTCAATTGATAACTGTAACTGTATAACTGTAAATTAGTCTTGACTAAATAAAGGATTTATATAAAAATTATTTATCTCATATCGAGGAAAACAAATTGATTACGTACTAATTTATATTTTAAAAAAAAATCCAATTTTAGGTAGACGAGCAATAACTGATTTGAATATGTTGAAATTCACTGGTCAAGTGAGCCAAGAAGTGGTGTCAGATTTAAAATGTAAAGTAGATATAAATTCTAAGTTTCCTAACTTATTTGAAAGCTTGGAGGAATTCAAGGACGAAATTGAGATTAAAATTAAAGGTGGGACCATACCGTTTGTTCACGCAGCACCTAGAGTTGTACCATTACCACTTTTACCGAAACTAGAAAAAGAACTTAAAGGTCTTGAGCCTTTGGGTATAATCGTACCTGTTGAAGAACCAACTACATGGGTCTCTCCGATCGTAGAAGTTCCCAAAGGGCAGCGAGTTCGTTTGTGTTGCGATTATACCAAAATGAACAAAAGTGTTTTGAGATCACACTTTCCAATAAACAAGGTCGAAACCTCGGTCGAAACAACCTTGGCTAAACTCACAATATCGCGTTTCTTTTCTAAATTAGACGCTAATGATGCAACATGTTGCGATTCTGCGAGAGATCTTGGAAAAACTTCGTGTGAGGGGGAAGGGGGGTTATTCTCAACAAAAATAAATGTTTAATAGGAGTTTCAAAGGTAAATTTTTTGGGGCATTGGATTACGGGTAAAGGGACCGGTCCCGGTCCCAGGAAATCCTTGCTATGCGAAAAAGAAGAACTGCAAGAATTTCAAAACAGCAGCCCATGTGAAATAAAGCTACTGAACTCTGAAAAAGACACTTGTACTTGCAAGCCAACCGAAGTCAAAATCACACAACCAATAATCAATCCATTGGACAAATCCAATAAATGGGTCTTCATCCTTCCAGCTAAAGTACCTATCGAACTCAAGTGCTTTGGACAAGAAGAAATCAGAAAAGTTATTGGAACCTTTCTAGTCCATATACCAATCAGTTGCCAAATAACTATCTCCTCAAGACTGATAATCAACGAAAGGAAGCTTCTGAAATCCGATGCCCAACCTATACTAATTCCCGACCTCCCAAGTGTACCTGAATTAATGCATGCCCCAAATTTAGGTACACACTTGAAAAACATAAAATTGGACAATCTCCACCAACTAAATAACGAGATCGTAGAAAACCGTTTGACATTTAGTTAAATCAGAAGACTTCCCAGTTTGGGAACCATTCTGATTTATGCTAGGATCCTTGCTGGGTGTGCTGTTCTTGCCTATAAGAAACTAGCACCGAAGTTCAAGAACCGAAGAAGGGGCAACCATCCTGAAGAAGAAGCCCAAACCAATTCAACTTCCCCGCCTAGCATGAAGGTGCATTCTAGGAAGGGAGGAGTAATGAGAACCCTATTTTCTGACTATAGACATAATCTGCTTAGTTAGCTTTTCTATATTATAAATATCGCTGCTTGCCTAAACAGTCAGTCAGTTTAATTATAATTAAATTTCTTATTTTTAACCTTTGTAATGCGTAACGCGAAACCACTGTATTGTAAATTAGTGAATAGTTTTTTAAAAACTCGTTATTGGCTTAAGGATTGATAACTCTTGGATAAGAAACACTGGCGGAATAAATTTTTTCGCATTTTTTTTTAGCTTTATAGTGCACTCCTTCAAATCAAATCAATCCTCAACTGAAAAAAAAAAGTGACAGACTTGTGAACAAGCTACCGCTCTAGAAATTAAATTGAACTTTACCTATGTAGGATTCGGATATTCTATGTGAACCATTTTAATATTTAGAAGATTGGTTAGATGGCAGGGTAGGGTGAAGGTATTTCCTTTAATGTATTGTTTGATCTATATAAAAATAGAATATGAGGTTATATAGTCAAAGCCATGGTTGCTTGACTCAAATATGAAACTTCAAAAATCCTAAAATAATAAATCTCATCAAAGAGGTTTGGTGTAATAACTATAAAGCGTGGAAGAGGAAAAAACAATAAAAAACAACTGAAAATTGTTGATATGTTATTGAAAAGCGAAAGCCATGACTCAGGCTACCATTTATGATGGGTCAGCAGATTAAGATTTAAATGCTGCACTTGAACCAGATTTGTTCTTTAAACTCTGTTCAACATTTTAGCCACAACCAGCCTTAGGGTATGATGAAAACTTTTTCTTGAAAAAAAAAAACAAATCTTACCTGTTCGCTAAGATAAGGTAAGTGGCAGACAGCCTCTGTCACGCATGTTTTGACAGTTTATGTTGAATAGGCCTACCATCCCCGTAGATACTTAGCGATGCTATGTAATGATTTGGCATCACCTGGAAAAATACCAATCAATAACTTAAACCCACACACACCAGAAAAACCAACCTCGAAAATAATATCCTGATAGCCGTAGCACAACGTGCTCCCGAACGGATTGGTCGTGTTGGTGGAACTTGCCCGGTTGAGCACCACTGGCCGTTCGCTGGGCGTCAACTTCTTACAAACTTCAGTCCAGTTCGAGTAAGCGCCCACAGTAGCGCCAGCTAGCGGCAACTCAAACTCACAACGCATGTACATGTTGAAGTTGTAGTGTCCCGGGTAGTTGGTGTGCAAGACAAACTTTTTGGCCAGATGTGATCGGGCATCGAATAAAACATCCTGAAATATAACAATAGTGTGATGAAACTTACTTTCTACTTGAGCAGCTGACCATTATTATTTCATTACACAGATTAGAAAATTTGATATAATTTCTATTACTCACCAATCCCAAAGTAAAGTAATTGAAAAAGTAATCGCTCCTATTGGTAGTGACTCTTCTATGGGCATTCGGTGCGTGTATTCTCATCTTATCCTCGCTTTTGTAAAATACTCTAGACGGCGCTCCAAGCGCTGAAGAAACGTCTTGCGCCGATTGCCCTAACAAAACTTTCCGTTCGATACGTAAAATTGTCGAGTCTATAATCCTATTGTTGGTACCCGCCAATAAATTCAATTTGATGCCTTTAGTGTAGCCTTCCCCTCGTAAAATTTCAGCCTTTCGTAGATAAAGTTGCCCATAATAGCAGGATAACGGTAGCTCGGGTGCTGACGCACTATCAACACTCGATCCTGAATAAATTGCCATCCTAGAGACCACCTAGAAATGCATATGATATAGCGCTAGTATTTAGAAAATTGCGTAAAATCTTACTGGGCTATTGCCTGGTGGAAACTGCAACGATGCCAAATTGTGTGTGCTGCCCTTTTGGTATTTAGAGTCGACAGGAAAATAAAAGCTCAAACCTCTAAAGTTCAGGGTGAACACTTGTTTTTCTGAATCGTACTCGCCCGGGTGGGTGGCGCCAAACGAGTGCTCGATTTGCTCAATCGAGGGCAGCAATTCGGGTGAATTAAAGGTCAGACCACTAGAAAATCAATCGAATTTATATTATGATTGATCAAACCGAGGCCAAGAGAGGCATTACTCGAGATAATCGTTTTTAAGGCTTTACTGTTGAAATTTCTGATAACCTAAAAACTAAATCACTTTCCTGTTGTTGCTGAGTGAAAATTTTTGAAAATCATTTTATTAGTTTGCAAATGACTCTAATTGATCCTAATTTGTGATTCTGTAGACCTAGAGTTTACATTAAACTTACCAATACTTCAATTTAACTAATTTCATATTATAAATAAGGATGATCTTCAGCCGTTGTGAAACTGGATCGAAAAATAACCTAATGCCATCTTGAGGTAAATTTATAACCAAGTCTATTTCTAAGGGTTTCTAGAAAGAAAAAAATGTATTAATGAAATTTTTGGGGTTTCAAGTTTAATGACTATTTTAACTTACAGCATCATTATAGAGTACTTGAACGCCTTTTATAATACCGATTTGTGCTTGAATTATAGCTACAGCCTGAGAGAAATGCATTCCTGAAAACAAACAAAAAAAATAGTGAATTAAATAAATAACAGCTCTAAATAATTTCTATTTTTATAAAATTTTCTGGTTTGTCATCTATAAATGCATTTGGTTTAAATATAATTCAGTTTCCAAGCAGCTTCATCAATTCTTTTATTTTCTTCCCTTAGCGTAAAAAGTAAAATCGATAATAGCTACTTTCTGCAAGTGAATAACAAAGTATAGAAAATTACCTAACATTAATATTGAGAAAAAAAAGAGCACAACATCAAAAAACAAAACATTTTTTCTTTTTTTAATAATAATAAGCAAAATCCTAAACTAGAATACAATTTATTATAATGCAAATTAAGTGTCCTACTCAGCAGGTTATACGAACTAAAAAAAAAATAATCACCAAAGTTTTGCAACAAAGGTGAAGGTTACCAAATATTTTAAAAAGTAGTTTTGCACCTTGAGACTACAGACTAAAAACTAAAATACAATTTTACTTTTTTACACAAATTAAAACAGCACTTAGCGAAATACCTTAGTTTTTTTGTCAATATAAAACAGGAAAATAAATAAGAAGTACCTATTCCTCAAATGAAAATTTTTCTAGATCAAAAATATGTATTCTAATATACGGAAAAAAGGGGGTTCAACGCAACATTCAAACAAGATAACTTGAGCTGTTTCGCGACTCCTCGAGTAAAACTGAAATCTGAACTAGGTACAGTACATTGATATTGTTTCTAGTAAGATATCTATGGAAATATTCATGGATTTGAAAATGTCTAAGTTTTGTGGAACGTTGACGAAAGAACACTAATTGTCTTTGTACAAAAATATTGTCAGTGTGATAAGAATGACGACCCCAAGACAAAATACTATATCAATGAGATGTTTCAATGGAAAAACCCCATGATATGCTGCTAGGAAATTTTAAGACATGGTAATTTTGTTGAGATAGAATAGAAAAAAGGTAGAAAATCAGAGCATTTCTTGGAGAGATGAAATATATGTCAATTCAGGATTCAGATATACTGCCAAGAATTGAACTTTGAATTTCTACCACATACCTACTTATTAAGAGTAGGAGGTTTGTATTCCTTTCTTCTAAGAAAATTTGTAGCTTGGGATTTGGGATTATTGGGAGACCAACTGTTGGCCAAAAACCATTGCAGATTAGCTTCATCATTTTGTAAATCCGCACTATTGATATTTAAAGGATGGTAGCTTTTATAAATGGCATCTTGGGCATTTAAAACAAATTTAATCAACTAATTTAGAAATAATACAATATTATGCTATTATTCGTTGTGCCGTTGGACATCGTTTTCTGGAGTAAATAAATGCTGTTTAAAAACAATCTTCAAATTGAAATAAAGACAAACCAGTAAAGCACATTTAATTGAATATAAAATCAATACTGGTCTTGCTTCTGCAGACGATTCTAAGGCTTTTAGAATAATTGACCTATCGACTGACTGTATAAGTTTTGTAGGAGGATTGGAACAGATTGACGGATTGGTGTGCTAGTCACAAATTAAATAAATGGATAAAATTTCACTTTAAAAGTATGGAATCATCCTCGGGATCATCCAAAGTTTATCTATTTGTTTCAACAATAAACAACTATAACATGAATAATTATAGACATATTTTGGTCATTAACGTATTTTCTGAAATTATTTAAAAATATTGTTGAAAAGAGAATGATTTTGTTTGTAATGATAATCTTAATGTCGGGTTCTTGAAAAATAGTAATACTCTGGCAGCAACATTTGACTATGTAAAGTATAGGGTGGGCTTGAAAAAATTGGAATTTTCTTTTTGAACTGTAACTTCTTTTTGTTTTTGAGCAATTTCCTTTTGTTTTGGCTTGTCTGCAAGAGAATTTAACAGGCTAACGTATCAAGAGAAACTTTTGAAATTTGAGAAAAAATCAAAAAGGCGGACGTTTTCCTGTCGAGGTCTTAAAATGTTCGCAAAATGATGAACTTCAAGAATTTATTGGAAAAAGTTATACAGGGGGTCTCAAAAAAAGTTCCAGCGCTATCCAAAACTAGGTAATTTATGAAGAAGTTCGCCATTTTGAATTTTTCTCAAATGTCAAAAGTTTCACTTTGATTGGTTAGCCTGTCTATTGTCTATTTCTCTTTCAAATAAGCCCAAAACAAAAGGAAACTACTTACAGCTCAAAAACAAAATTCCGTTTTTTTTTGAGCCCACCCTATATATTACTGAAGAATTAGCAAAAAAAAAAAAAACATCAACTATAATAGAGTTCCACAGGAGCCAGTTTTAGGACCACTACTTTATTCAATATAGATCCTTAATTTGAAAATTGCAAACCTAGAGTATACTTTGGGTCAGATTTATCGCTGCTGGAAAGCCAAATAAGTAATAAGGGACTTAAGTTTTTGTATAAAAATGATGTCAAAATTAATGTAGCTCAAGATACAAAAAATTAACTCCCTGCCTCCTAGTCTAAGGCTGAAATTTCATGAAACCTTCATCAGTGCAAACTGCAATTGGATACCTTTCCCCGTTTGGTCCTGGAGACAGCGTTTCTTGATTCTGGGCAATTTCAAAAAAGCTTTGTTGTCAAAAATTACAATGTATAACCATTGACAAAGCAAATATTAGAGTACTAAAAGTATTATACTAAATAGGTAAACATAAAACAGTTATGTTAACTAAATCTATTTTTATTTTTAATTAATTTGACACAAAAAAAATCTTTTAGCTTATTTTTGACTTTTTTTTCCTCTACAAAATGCATGATATAACAGCCTATGATATCCTCCCCTTTTAATATCTGAGCTAATAGCTAACTTGCCCCTGATGATTTTCTAATCTCGAAAGATGTAGGGCTCGTAAAATTTATTAAAGTATTTGTGGAGGAAGACATCAAGTTTTTCTTTAGGAACTATACTTATATAAATTAGATCAGATACTGATACTGGAACAATGTAGTTGAAGTTGATGTACAGAATGCTCAAGAAAATGATTAATAATCTACAAAAATATAATATTTTCACATGACTTTCATAATCATCTCAATAATCATGGTATAAAAAATATCAGGTCAGTAAAAAGCTTATATAATTTCACAGAGTAGAATTATAGGTTTGAGTATAGGTTCAAATTGTCTGCGCTGATCTACATCTATAAAGTAGCTTACAAGCCTAGATAATACCAATTGAGCATTTAGTTATCTACTTGCTGGTTTGTTCAGGGTCGAAATGTGATAACATCTATCTGACAAAAAAAAAACGCATCATCCACTAAAAGTGTATATTTTTTAACAAATGTTCTACATACTTTTAATGGTGTAAAAAATAACAATTATTGATTAAATTTTACTTTTAATAAGTAGCCCAAGCATATGTACAGAATTTGGTTAAAAAATATTTCTTCTATGGGGTGAAGCGTCAAGATTTCTGCCTACCAACATTGTAAAGTGTACCAGAGTTGGGAACTCAATAAATAATATACCTAGATTTCACATAAGAAAAGTTTACAGAAGCATTATTGAAGATGAAGAAAGATTCAAGTCTTGGACGATGAAATTTCTACAGTACTACTTCAAAATTGTGGAGAAACAGTTGGTGGTCGACGCACAAAGGTGATAAGTGAGTGCATGGAGCTTGGAAGAATCCCGGAAAAATGGAAAATTTCCATAGTAACCCCTTTGTACAAGAAAGGCAACAGATTCAACCCAGAAAACTATGAACCCATAAAGTCTCACATAGCCCTAAACCAGGTTACTCCACCTATCGAATGGTCTCAAAGCTCTAACGGAAAAAGCAAAAGACTGGCATGGAGAATCTTCACAATGAACAGAATAAATTGAGCGAATGGCGACTGATAGCTTCAGACCTCGCTTCAGACCCTACAAATCTCCAGGTAAAGACGGGATCTTTCCCGCACAACTTCAAAAAGGCTAAGAGTACTTAAAAGTACACTTACAAAAACTTTTCAAAGCAAGCCTGGTCCTAGGACACATACCGCTATCTTGGAGGGAAGCTAATGTTATAACTGACCTGAGGACGAAGCAAAATCATACCATCCCATCAGCCTAACCTTCTTTCTCCTCAAAACACTGTCTGGTTGAAGACATTGAAAGAACGATCGAGTGCAAAGAAATCGCTTTCACGGCATTCATTGACATAGAGTGTGCCTTCACCAACATCTCACATCATTCAATTGCTAGAGCCCTACAATAACGGAATGAATAATTGTAAAATGGATGAAGTCGATGCTAAAACACCGTTACGTTACGGCTGAAATAAACGGAGCATCAGCTACCACTACCACGGTCAGAGAGTGTCCTCAAGGGGGTGTTCTTTCTTCAGTACTATGGACACTAGTAATAGTAATGCACAAAATCTTCACCAGACTGAGTAGTGCTGGATACCAGGTCATAGGCTATGCAGATGACCTGGCCATTATAATCAAGGGCAAACATGAAGGCATAATAACAAGCCGGATGCAAAGTGCTCTAAACATCGTTAAAAATTGGAGTTATGAAGAGGGATTATTTCTAAACCCAAGCAAAACAATTCTTGTCCCGTTCACAAGAAGAAGGGAGTTAAATTTGAAAGCCCCTACCCTTAACGGTACACAACTAACATTCTCCAACGAAGTGGAATACTTGGGGATCGCCCAGGACCAAAAACTCACTTGGAACAAACAGTTAGGAAAAACATGTTCTAGAGTTATATCAGTCATTTGGTTATGCCGCAAACTGGTTGGTAAAACATAGGGACAAAAACCAAAGATGGTATTCTGGAATTACCAAACTATAATGAAGCATGGTCACATACGCCGCATTAGTATGGTGGCCCAAAACTCAGCAAGTCACCGCTCGGATCAAGCTAAACAAGGTGCAAAGGCTGATATGCTTAGGAATAACGAGAGCAATGTCGACCTGCCCCACCGCAGCCCTAGAGACGCTGCTTAGCATGCCCCCACTTCACCTATGTGTGAGAAAGGAGGAAATAATCAGTGCTCATAGGCTATT